AGAGAGAGAGAGAGAGAGAGAGAGAGAGAGAGAGAGAGAGAGAGAGAGAGAGAGACAGACTAAAAATAAGATAAATAGCGTACGGAGAAAGCTTGTCGTCGAGTTTGGAACGTTTTAATTAATTTAATCACAGTCTCGCACGCGGTTGCACAACCGATTTCGTTCGTTGTAAACGCCGTGGTAAACTCCAAGACCCAGTTAACGATTAGCTTCCTTCGTGCGGGCTATCAGTCGACATAAATAATGCTCCAAGAAGGATACAGACCTAAGTTGTAAAATATTCCCGAGGGCATTAAGAAGAAAGAACGTACTAGAGATATTCTATAATTCCAGTGACTTTTAACTTGCGCCATAACAAAATGCAGTATTACGTGTGTCGTACTACCATTACTACGCTATTAGCGCTATAGCGTCTATACTGAGGAAGAAATATCTGTTGCAATCAACAAGACTTTATCTGTGCGAACGGAGAAAATTCGCTCGAGCAAACATTTGGTCGATTGAACGAATTATATAGTTGCTGCGATGAATTAATTCCACGATTGCGATTCCATCAGCAACTATATCGATGCGTAATTTGTTCACTGGACACAACCCGAATAGACTTTTATAATTATCACGACGTGAGATAATCGATGATGGTAACCTTACGATTTCTTAAATTATATTTATGGAGCAAATATTCTGTGTTGAATTAATCTGTTAAATGTACATCAATGATGTACACTGTTTGTTATATTAATGCGACAACAAATTTATTAAAAGTTATTCTCAGATTTGGCAGTTACTTTTTTTAGATTATATTTTGCGTAAATTTTCATAATTATTCTCGTACTTTCTCGAGTTAAAATTTTGGCCCTATGATAAATTTTGAATTCTGCAACGCAGTATAAACTAAGTAAGTAGGTTTAACTCTAATGATGTCCAAAATTTCTCTTTTTACTTTCTTTAGCGTCAAAACAGGTATTGAATCGTATAAGCTGAAAATAGGATCAAAATTTCGACTCGAGTAAGTTAATAGAATCTAAAGTAGTTGATGTAGGTTCAGAGTATCGAAAGGTGTTGAATAGAATAGTAAGACTGAACGTAGAATAAAAATTTCGACTCAGATTACCGATATTTCTTTCGTTATATGATAAAATACAGATACTGTAAGAACCATTTTTAAGGGATAGAATTTCGACATATCGACACAGCAAAGTTGCAACGCCAAATGTATAGACGCACATCTGTCTATCCGGGAATGTTTCTCTAGTACGAGGCTTTGCCGATCCAACTATCTTTCCTCTCAATATGCGGAAGTACCTAGGAGAAGCGGCCCTTCTCAAAATCGAAATTGAATCATTTTCATTACGCGCGTGGCTTAGGTCTGTATCATCCTCAGCGCGTGAAATAAAGCGAAATTATAACCGTTACGAGGGCAATTGATCTCGTCGGAGCCGTCGAGGCAATGCGGTCGGCCATCGCAACGTCTCTTATTGTCGAGGCACAATCCGTCGTTGCATCGGAACCATCCAGCCGGACATTCGGTGACTACAATAATTACCAAGTTCCATGTCGAGTATAGTATATCGTGCATGCTACCCATACGTAGGGACGGGAGAGGGAGAGGGGGAAAAATGGCCTTACCACCGGAGTCTCGCATTCGCTCGAGATAATCGTGTAAAACGCACTTAAGACTGAGAAAACGTGCTCGCACCCCGTGCACGGTACTGATTCTCAGGTAACACTTGAGTAATCGCCTTGGTACGTGTGCGAGATACTCGCGATTTTGCTAACCGCACAGTTCGCGTGGATAACGTAAGAGGGGAGGAAAAAAATATCTCTATTTCGATAAGTATCGACTTTACGACGTGCGTTTAAATTGAGATTTCTTTTCTGTTTCATTTATATGAGTTCGCTCCCTTCGGGACTTATCGCGCGTAAATTTAAGGCGCAATTTCGGCCCATACTCTTGTTTCATTTGACTCGTGTTACGGAGGGAACTTTGCTCGATCGTCTCCCTGTAATGTCTTACGACAGTGTGACGGCTTTAGGGATATAAAAAAGGTTTACGCGATTACTTAAGTGTTAAACTGACTCGTAACGTTGTGAGACTTGCGCGGGGGACAAGTACCGCGCGTTCTTTTATTGCACAGGCGCTGCTTATCACCCTTGTACATGATCATACTGATTACTATCATACTCTTACTATTCCACTCTAATGAGAATAAATCCGCAGGCAGAGAGTGCGTGTGCGAAAACGATTCAGCTCTCGCACAAACCCACATGAGCGCTCACTCTTCTCGCATCGTTCATTTACATTACATTACATTTACAATACATTAGTCTACTTACGAGAGTCTCATCATGCGCGAAAACTTCCGTACTCATATCGGTTATATATTCTCAGAGGGACGTGCGTTACTTTACAACACAGACAACATGCATTTGTCCCACGTGCACGAGACATGCGATGATGTCGCGCCAATTGCTTTGTGCGACACATGCAGGAGTGGTCTTCCTCGTAAGCAAAAATGCGATATCGGGGGTCGAAAAGTCGTCGCATGCGTAGAGAATATTGTACCGAAAATACTCTGATCCGTTTTGAGGACGATTAACGATATATCCAGATGTAATTTCTGCTTGGAAAGGAATGAAGTTTCATCGGTGAGGGAATATCGAAGACTGAGATGAGGATAGAATATTGTTACAATGCTCTATATCATATATGCGTGTATGAAAAAAAAACAATTAAATGACACATCCAGCTTAAAAAAGAATGCAATTTAGGCATAGGAAAGAATCAGCACGAAAGGAAGTTTCATTGGTAAGAGTATCGGCGAGATGAGAATAGAATATTGTTGTACAATGCTCTATATTATATAAGCATGTATGAAAAAAGACAGCTAAGTTAATACATCTAGCTTAAAGAAGAATATAATCTGAGCTTGGAAGGGAATGAGCACGAAGAGAAGATTTATTGGTAAGGATTTCGGAGGGGGTAGGAGATTGAGATATGTAAATAGAATTGTTACAATTAATGCTCCATATTATATATGCATATATGACAAAAGGACGATTAGCTGACACCCACGGAGCTTGAAGGAAAACGAGAAATAGTCGTTAATTTTCCATCACCATGCGGCCGTTAATTAAAGTCGAAGACAGGAGAAAGATATGCACCGTCAAGTAAGTCATTCCGATAACTCGAAGTCGAGTTCCGGGGCATGCTGATTAGAGTTAGACATCTTGTTGCGCAATAATTATTCTAACCGGAGTACTGAAAAGAGTAGAGCGAGTTTTTGGATAAATAACGCTCGTGGTATTCCCTTTGTACACGAAGATACCTGCGAGAGCCTCGATAACGTGCAGCTGATTAGCGCGCAAAGAGCGGTGAGAAGGCCATTTTTTTTTTGGTTCTTTCATTGACAATTGCGGGCAAAAGCTGTCATTATAATTACCGCATCCATCCTCATCGGAGCCGTCGGCGCAGTGCGTTATCCCGTCGCATCTATAGTTTTCCGGCAAGCATTCGCCACTGGCGCACTTCCATTCGGCAGGTGTACACACCCCTTTGCGACACAGACACGTGGAAAGCTTCCGCGAAAAGCATTAAGGATCGGGACAAAACGGGGCCTTTATCAGTGGTATCGTCACGTCGCTCTATCAATTTAGCGTAAGCTTAATCCGCGACGTTATCTACTTATTTCTCTATGTTCAAAATAATTCGGTATATTATTATAGATTCGTAAAGGAATTTTTTCTGGTTCCTCGCCATCTTGATTGACGACGTGAGAAGTGAGGGAACGCATGCCCAAAGTTTCTACAAAGTACCTGCAACGTTGAAATAACGGGATGTATTATTTTGGAAGCGTGCTTAATCGATTGCAAATGTAATTTTTTCTTCCACGTATCTTTTTATTTCCACATATTTTGCAAGAATTTTGTCTATGCATTTCTTCTGACGTCGTCAATCAAGATGGCTGCAACGAAGATCCAGGAGTTTTAAGAAACGATAAAAGAGGTATCCTTGGAAGATATTTTTGAAAGTATGTCGATCTTTGACATGTCGATTGCATAAATCTATATTTAGCTCTGACATGCGCGTAATGACACCACTGAACATTCGCGAATTGACACAAAGACACACACCGTTTTCACAGGTGTTTTTCAGTTGGGTCGATGGCGAACGTTATAGGCCAAGATGTAAATACTGAATTCTCGACGTCGAATATTCCAATACGAAAACTAGATCACACCGCGCAAAAAATAACTTCTCGTTATTGGCATTCCGTAACAGAGCGCGAGCGACAATTATAAATAAATTAGCAAACCGTAATCAATTTGGATGCATTCTCGTTAACGTAGAGACACAAATCGATCCGTATTATATTATTTCGCTTAGCATTGATAATGTATACTGTGTTACCAAAGGAGGAGACGTTATTACGATCGTGTAATAGTGCTGAGAAATTTTCGTGGAACGACGTCTTTTCAAAAGATTTGTTGGCAAGAGTTCACGAGAGATCAAAAAGCGTCCGCCATCATGAATATAAAGCTGGGAATACACTGAGCGAACGAACAACGAATGTAAACTTTCGTTTTACGATTGAAAGATTGTGTGCGCCACAACAAATCCGAGTAGAACGTTTTATTCGCGCATGTAATGCGGTACATCAAAGAAAAAATAGTAACCAAATTTCGCTTGATTTTACAGAAATTGTAATGACTTCTTTTTGCATACGATTAAAGTTCACGTTGAGTCTGTCCCAAATACGTAACCCTCTGATCTGAGCTCTCTTACTCTCGAGAAAAATGGCTTAAAAAAGTTTCAATTTCAAACAGATGGCGTGACAAAAAATTAATTTAAACTCAACGTGATTTCGACCTAATAGAACCTTCAAGTTTACATCCAAACTGAGAGGCGTTTTTTAAGGGTAGATTTTTGTCGTTCAGAGAATTACATATTTGGAAGCGATTTAACATGAGCTCTAATACTATACAAAAGAAATTGTCATCAAGAATCCTAAAGTCAGGCGAAACATCTATAGGAACTTGGCCGTTCTCTTTTTATGCGCAAGGTGGACGCAAATATGAATTACACGTTCGTTCGCTCAATGTACAGTCAGCTTGAGGGTACGCGAGAAGAAGGAGGCGGGAAGGACGAAGTCACCACGAGAGGACGAGGTCAAGCCCTTACCACAGCCCCGCTCGTCACTGCCGTCGAAGCAGTCGAAGATATTGTCGCACCTACGCCGCAGGAGAACGCAAGCACCATCATCGCAACGCATTTCCTTCTTCGGGTCGCATTCCCTTCTGCGTGGCGGTCGCCAGCGTGGATTCGACGTGGGGTCTGATCGCACATACAGGCACATTCAGGGAAACTCATGGCGGAGGGGAAAAGCGCGCGGGGACGACGCGCCCGCAGGGATGAGATTCAAGGGTGTGTTCATAGATGAGACGTGAGGCTGTATACATGTTCTATCGCGCGCAAATGCACAAGACCACAATGCAGCGATGCAATAAGGACCAGAACAGGGTACACCAATTCGCAAGCAACGTCGAATAGCCATGGCTGGAAAGAAGAGGCGACGACGCGAGCGCGCTCCCCAGTTCTCCCCGAATTTGTCAGCCTTTATCGTTCGCCTTTGGCGAACGAAGGGACAGGCTCGCGGCGGTCACGTTGACAACGAGGAAAGGAAGATTACGATCGGGAGCGCGCTTCCATCGAGCAACGTCGTCGCCTCCGAGAGTGTGCACAGGCTCGTGCGTGGTGCAGCTACTTGTGCATCGATGCACGTATACAGCGATATATGTCGGCGGGCGGGGGTCGCCTTATATCGCGGCGTTTTGTGGCGATTCGCGAACGGCCGAGAATACCGTCGGTCATCGCCGTGAATCTTCCGTACGCGGGGATTCATGGCGATAACGTGTCCCCTGCATACTCTCGACCGTCTCGGGCGGGACGACAAAGCGACACCGTCGTCGTCGAGAGCGCGGCCAGCAGAAGGGAGGAGAAACGCTTCCTCATCTTCGATGAGTTGTCGCGATCGAATTTAGCAGCCGCGTCGCCGCGAGCATAAAGAGATTCGGCTTAACAAATGTTACAATGTCCGCGTTGCGCGATGTCGACGTCTTTCTCTTTCTGGGGCTCGCGGCAGACGGTAAATCGCTTCCTCGGCCGCGGCTCGTAACGATTTGATCGTGAGAAATGCGCGATGAAATGCAACCATCGTCGAGCGTGTATCCGCTCGGGCGAGTAGATCCACTTGTACCGCGCGAATAAGAGTTCCTTAAGAGGATTTGGCCGAAACCGGAACATTACGAACTTGCCGCGCGGGAGGTGAGAAACTTCTCTCGTAACGCCGGTCCGAGGGTATTTTTCAGATCCCCTATTTTTGCTTTAACTTCGCCGCGCGAACGACAGAATGAATGTGTAAGCGTCCGCGAACAAAGTGCGCGCGGAAGAAGCGGCGCGCAACTTCACCTCGGACGATCCGCGACAGACCTGAGACGAGGTGATCTCTCTTGGTAATTTTATGCGGCTTGCCGCGCGCAGAACGCACACTAGCGCATTTGTGCACGCGCATCTTTGGACGTAGCTCGATTTTATCTTCGTACAAAACTGGAAGTTTGCCGCGACGTTTGCCGTGAATTACATGCCGCTCAGAGTGATCTTAATGGATGACACGTGGCGGGAGCGCATTGCTTTCAGTTTAGCGCGAAAGGGCCGAAATTCACCGAGGCGTTAACGAGTCGCGAAGATTCGAAGGATCGAAGTGGCGATTTCTCCTGGCCGCGCCCTCGACATTAACGGCGCACGCTGGACGAGGGTTGCGCGAATGCATTATGAATGAAGCGATGGACACACTGAAAAAGAGGCGTACTGGTGGCAGGCGATGTGATGTGTGTGCTGGTGTCGTTAGCAGACGCGACACAGTCCTCGTCGCTGCGATCTGGGCAATCCGGATGACCGTCGCATCTGTAGATGTCCTCGATGCATTTGTTCCCGGTGGCGCATTTGAACTGGTTAGGCGTGCATTCCCGCTCTGTGTTTTGTTTTGTTCAGCGAACATATGCGCAGAGAACACACATCTTTTACACATACAGTGATTCGTGTACACACACATGTACACATATATACTTTATATACATGATTAGATACATACATATATATATATATATATATATATGTACATATTTCGTGCATGTGTACATGTATATGTATCGAAGCGAAAGCTACGCACACTCCCAAACGTTTTTGGTGGTCGTCGGTTTTGCTTTTTTTATTTTCTGTGTTTTTCCCATTTTGGAGAATAGGGATCTGTTTCATTTGATAGCTTTTGCTGTTATCACATCATGAAAGCGAAAAGCTGCTTTTGGGCAACGAGAGTATCAGCTGGCGATTATACACACAGTTTTGGAACGGAACTGAGGAGGGGGGAAGCTTGAAAATGATTTCGGCTCGTGCATTTACGAAAGCACGAACCATTCTGCGCATTGATTCGTGCGGAATGTTTGTGAAAAATAACTCGCTGTATTAGTTAATACCGATTACGATGTCGCGTGCATCGCGCGAAAAATCGTGTCGTGACGATAACCGTGGCTGTGTTCCGCGCGGCGAAAGCCGACTATGGTTTTGCGGCGGAGCGCACACAATTATTAGCTCCGCCATAAATGTGCGTAATGGCACGCTATTACGAGGCCGTTTGTCAGCAGACGGACGATTCTGGTGTTTAGAATCGAACTTCGCGGAAGGAATCGTGCTTGCCGTGCAAGCACACATCCGATGCGTATGAAAATAATATTTTCCGCCGGGTGATATTCGACGGGGAGCGCCGCTTGCAGATGAAAAATCACTCGCGAATGGATTACGCTTGCGCGCGTTAAAATATTATATCAAACCGTTATGTTGAAAAAAAAGGGTCCGTGAGTTATCCGTTAGTACCGTTAGTTATTAGATTACATCGTGAATTAATTGCAGGATATTATATGGAAAAGTTACGTTTATTTTGCATGGGAAGTATTGGGAAAAACGGTTGACTTCTCGTGAAAAAATTAGTCGAAAATTATGTGCGGCGTAAAATTATTTCATGCGAGAATTCGCTCTCGAGGAAATTGAGCTGGACGATTGAAAAATTAACAATATCCCACCGTCTCTTTAAGCTCAGGTACCGTTCAACGATACTTGTGATATGTTGTCAAATTCATTGCAACAATGGTTATCAGGGGGGAAAAAAGAGACGAATAAAAACATATAGATTTTATTTCTGTAAAAGGACAAATCTATAGGAATAAAAGCTCTCTTAAAAGCTTAAATAGCGTCGAAGAGCATGAATTTTTCAATCCTCGAGATCAGCTTTCTTCAAAACGCGATGTCTCGTGTGAAAACATTTTATTCTATACATATCGATTTATTTTTTCGTGAGAAATCATTTCGATCTTGATTATAGGAATCAGAGTTACAGGATATTTTGTATATCACATACAAATACTTTATAGTATTTATATCTTATACAGAGAAATCTGTGGAGGATTGATAGTTGTGTGGGAACGCGAAAAGCACACATTGTTATAAGTTTCTTCAAACGACCATAACGTACGCGATTTTAAATGCAGATTTCGCCCTCGTGCGTTTCATTCGTTATTTACTATAATTTTCTCCCAATTAATAAGTTAGATGTACGGAAAAAAATTTGATTAGATTAATTAAATATCTAGTGAACAGAACTTTAGTAACTAATCGGAATTCTAGTTTGTTCATATTTCACTGGACATTTGTTTACTCCGATCAAATCTTTTTCCGTGCGATGACACAATAACGATGAATTTTCTTCCGATTAGGTGCTGATCGACTTACGATCAGCCTTCGTGTCATTTTCTCGCTACTAAACACGAATCCAACTGCCAAACGTTCACGCACATATGCGGAGATGAATTTATCGAACGGGTGAGACGATTTCATCGGCCGAACGTTCGGGCTCGAGATCCGCGGTTAAAATCGTTGATCACGGCCGTTGACGCTGGATTTAAAGTAGCTTCTGTTAATTAGCGTCTGATCAACGTGGAACAAGTCCGTGATTGGACCCAATGAGGTGGTACGATTAAGCGATTAATTCAATGGCAAGCGTTGTATCGGGCGTAAGCCAAGCGGGAACTCGGCGGCGAAGAAAGAGAGAAAGAAGAATCGGACACGCCGTCGACTCCATTCGCGCGATCGTGTCAGATATTTTCCACAGTGGATCGAGGAGGGGGGCAAAAGTCAATTATATCGATCGTTCATATCGTCGCGTTGTATCTGTTTAAAAGACTCCGTTACGTAACACGAAACCACAATTATTCGTTACGCAATGACACGCACACGTGTTAGCGATATCTCACGCGAATATACTGAACGAGCGAACATACGAGCGGAGCCTATTTCTCTGGGATCGAATACCACACGGAGAAGACACTAAGAATACCTTACTTGCCTAAATATGTTTGCCACACAATTAAATATTAATGTTATTTCTTGCCTATGCGTACAAGATGTTTGCAAAAACCATTATTTAGTATCCTGGAAGTGGTACACTGGCCTTCTTTACTGCCGGCCCGTCTGAGCAAGAAGTGAGACCGGGATTAGATGCTCCATTTTTCAGAATTTTGAAGTTACAACTTTTTAGATAAATAATTACAGTGCAAACATGATGAAGGCGCTTCCTCTATGTATTAATGCCCGTCACGATTTTGTTAACCGTATATTTTATTTTATAATAATTAAAATGAAAACAAGTGGCCATCTTGTTTTGATGCCGAGTTCAGTTGCTCTGTAGCGTAGGATAAGAAGGCCATGTATCAAATATCTATTTTGATTAATAATTCCGCTTGAAGAATAGTTCTGAGATTCCCGCGAGAGGTCACAACTCTTTTGCTGGTTTTTAATCATAAGCCAATTTTACCTCGTTCGCCTATATGTTTGATTTCAATTATTTTATAACTGAAAATTGTTCGCCTATATGTTTGATTTCAATTATTTTATAACTGAAAATTGTTTTTACTATTTAAAGCAGTATATCATACACTTGTATGAAAGTTTTATCTAATAACACATCGTTTAACTTTATTCATTCACCATGGAGAATATTAATATAAAATTTCTCTCGAGAGGCTAAAAAATTTACTTTGCTATTACTAAATCAGTTTTTTTCTATTTTTTCTATTTTATCTGCAACATTTTATACTGATTTTAATGAAATTCAAAGAAAGATATATATGCTCTAAATTGCAATTTTGTATCCCCATTGTTTCTTTCAAAATAAATATTACAAAAGCACATAAGCAACATACTTCTGGAGCCATCTAGACCAGCTTTTCCCTACTCTCAGTGACGTACGGCATAACAAAATTCTACGGATTTCTCAACCTTCTGTTCTGCCAGAGATTACACAGAAAGACAGCAACATTGGCTGCGAGAATTGTATAGATGGACATATAACAATAGCGGCATTTTAATGTCGTATCTATTTAATTTTGAATCGCATGAATTTTTTCTATAACCACAGAATATGTGTGTGTAGTAAACATTGCAGTTTTCTCCGCGCATAACCATACAAATACTGACGTCCGCCGCATGTACGCAGTTAAAATTCCATCGTACCACTTGTTATTGTTCGAATCGCGCGTAACGATACCGATAAAACGTAACAAAAATATTATGTTTCACCACTGAAACTCTTTCCTTCTTTTTTTTCAGGCTCCAATTGAGCTAAACGTCAAAATAACATCGGTTGATACTACGTCACAGAGTCATCTACGCTCGCGCCCGCTTCTCATCGTTCTTTCTCTCTCTCTCTCTTTTCTTCTGGCCGCGCTAGCGTGAAAGGTATGTACGTGGTTATGTACCGCAATGAAGCTCGTCTTCTGCCCTGGGGCAGTCGTCGAATCCGTCGCAGACCGAGCTCTTCGGTATGCAGGAGCCATCTCCACAGGTGAAGTCCACAGAAGGGCATGGAGCCAAACCTACAGGGTGCCACCGGCGAAAACAAAGACCCTCCTGATCAACGCTCGCGTCTCGCATTCTGCTACTCGGTCGCCACGATCGCGATGAGAGCTCCCGAGTTCGAGTTCGGGAATTAAAAACATTTTCCGAATCGTGTGATTTCGGAAGATAATACTCAAATTCGCCTTAAAATTACGGTAATCGCACGCACTGGAAGTGGTCCTCAGGGTTGAGGAACTTCCAATGATTGAAAGGGAGCTCAAATGATATACAATGGCGGGATAATGTATGATTTCGTATAGGCGACCGAGACAGACGAGCTCGAGGTTGAAGTTATGTACAAGCTATGAACACATGAGAGACATTTAAAGCAGTTTTAGGCGCGATGGAGGGTTTGTGAACCTGTACACGAAAAGCGTCTCTGGTAAGTCGCGCGGTTCCGCGATCGAGGGACTTTTTACACAGGATATTCTCGAAGCTTGTCTAACATTGAAAGCGCCGTGAAGAAGCCCCTTGGAAGTGATTAAGAATTATTGCGGCTGCGGGAGAAGGCGAGAATACGAAACGACAGTTGCGTTTCCGGCTCAAGAAATCACATTTCTGTCACTTTACGTTAAAAAGACAAGAGAGAAGGAACGCTGTTCAGTTCCTTAAGTTTCTACTCGATTTCGTGTTTCTCTTCGCCTTCCCCTTATACGCCCCGGTATATTCGTGGCTTATGTACAGTGTGTCTCGGGTAATAGTGAGAATAGTGTGGATCGCGTCTCTCGTTATCATCACTGGAAGTGAGTCCTGAGAATGTCATTGAGATTACACTCGCTCGTGACTTACGACTGTATATTCCGTATCCTTGTGGGAAGTTGAGCGAGGAGCATATGCGTGATTCGACGATAAGATGTCAAGAATAGAATCTATGGAATAGGAGGATTTTCCCGCATCCGAGTAGAGGATTTGCAATTTGCCGTGCGCTCGACTGGCGATCTAATCGCGAGTAGATACAGACGGCTGATTGCGCGGCCGCGCAGCATGCAAGTATGACTGACGCATTGATTAACACAACGCGTCGATACCGATCTCTGCAATCGCCAAATGCAAGTCCTCTCTCGGGTCGTGCGAGGAATCTCGCACGAGCCTAACGAGACGAGTTGTGAACTCGCGTGAATCCGGCAAAGGTCAACGGAGAGTTGACAATCATCTGTTGTCGTCGAGAATCAGCGATTTTTTGGCTGATATATTTGGCTCGTTTCTGACCGTTCGGATCGCGGAAGGCAGTATTTTTACAGCAAAGTTGGACGACACAGAGTGAGAAACGTGCATTTTCACATTAAACGCAAACGCGGAGTTGCGCGCGTTTCCCGTGTTTCGCGAAACTCCTTTGTTAACGTGCTCGTTCCCCAAAGCGTTATGCGCAATGCGCGGGCACAGAGGGGTTACCCTCTCCGATTGTCCGTAGAGACGCGCTGCGTTTTCGTTTCGAAAGTACGGCAGCGAGACTGCCGAGCAAGAGTAGGATCAGACACAGAGAAACGAAGCGTACATTAGCCCCAGGTAACAGGTCCCTCGGTTCCAGTCCGCGATAGACCCCGCGCGATGGATCAGTTCCTCCCAGGGAACACGTCCCTGCGCGTCAGCCAGTTTCGCGTCTCCGAAGCAGCCATTTTCTGTACAGCGAAGACAAGTGGCGTCAGGAGAGGCGTCCTGAGGAGAAATGGCGCACTTTTTTCTTTCATTCGTGTCCCGTTCTAACACTACCTCTCTCGTTCAGGCGACAAATTTTACAGCGTGGACAGCGAGGTGTCGCTCGCGCGAGACATATCGCTCCCTGTGTGTATGGGGTGTACCTTCGGACACGACGTTCATGCAGAACTCCTCGTCGCTGCCGTCCGCGCAGTCCCTCTTTCCGTCGCAGAAGTTCAACGCGTTTACGCAGCCGCTGTTGCGAGGATACTCGAAACTGCTGTATTCCTCTGTCGACGTGTTCCTCGGCGGATGCGTTGGCGGCTGAAAGGTGGTCGAGCCTCCACTGCCTCTCAGATGCTCTTGCCATCTCTTCATATATATGTAGTCGCAGCCGATCTCGTCGTTGGCGCTGAGACAGTCCACGATGCCGTCGCAGAGCTTGTCCTCATCGATGCACGTGTACTTGTCGCAGGCGTGCTGGTTCTCGTCGCAATTGTCGGCCTCGTAATCCTCGGGGACTAACGTCGCGACGTTGACGTCCCCGTTGAAAGTCGACGCTCCCGTCGTATCCTCCTTCTCTTCCTCCTCCTCCTCCTCCTCGTCGTCTGTCTCCTCGCTGTCCCAGTACGGGTGCACGGTGGCACCCATCGTAGGCTGCGTACTGTCCTCCTGATTCCACTCGCTTGATTCTTTGCTATTCCCATCGCCCCCTTGGCTCTGGACCAACGGTTCATCTGTTGCGTTTTCTCGCTCGTCGCTGCTTCGATGTTCGTTAACGGTGCGTGTTGAGTACTCTTGCTCATCGTTCGTCTGATTCGTCTTCACGCTAGAAGCCCTCGGGGTGCTGACCGAGTCGGACGCGGAAGAATCGTCACCGTCGATGGCAGCAGCCTGATAGCCCGTTGTCTGAGACTCGTCGTCTTCTGCAGGCCCGTCGGTGGACGATGTGTTCTCCGCGCAGTCTTCAGTCGAGTCTTCATTATCGCTCAATGGCACTCCTTTGGAAAACGCAGCCTCAGTGATAGTTGCAGTGCGTCTTTTCACGCACTTCTCGTTGGGTGTGGTTGGCGTGGTAGCACCACTGTTGCTGAGATCTACGTCCGATTGAGGTCTGCTCTGGTTGCCGCCTCTTGCAAAGTATGCCGTGACGGGCTTGTCAACGCTCCAGAGCCGCGTTTTGAAACTCTCCGTCGTAATCTCGTCATTCTTATCGCTGGTACTCATGTCCGAGTCAACATCTACCTTGCCATAGCTCCACTTATCACGGGAAGACGCGGTCTCTGTGCTGTAATCAAGGCTGTAATCGACACTGGTTGTCGTTCTTGTCGTCATCGTTATGCTTGCTTCGGGAGCCACGGTCGTTCGCTTCTTGCACCTCTTATTTTTGCCATTGCAATTCTTCTTCCGTTTCTTGCACCTATTGTTCTGATGATCATTATGGTGATCTTTGTGCTTGCATTTGTTGTGCTTCTCTGCGGAGGGCTTCTCTGTGGACTCGTCTTCGTTTGCGCGCGTCACGAGGATCCCCGATACCTTTGTTGTCGTTGTCATTGTCGTTGTGGTCGTCGTTGTGGGTGACGTCATCGTCGTCGTCATCGTCGTGCAGTCGAGCAGAACGCCGAAGTCATGCTTCGAATCCTCCTCCAGAGTCTCCCTGGACCCTTGAAATTCGCACGGCATCGTGTGTGCAAAATCACGCGCGGTCATCGATTCGGTGGTCTCGTCGGAGTTTAACAATCCGGAATCGATCTTGTCGTCGCCGCTGGTCGGGTTGTCGTTATCCTCCGCCAACTTCTCCGCAACGGCTTGCGACTGCTCGCGTTTCTCGTCCGCGCCATCGTTTCTCGCACTTTGGTTAGAACTGATCGAGTTGTCGCCCGGAATTGGGAGATCCATCCGCGCCCTGTCGATATCGTTAGTGGTCTCGGATGTGCGGCTGGTCTCTGGGAAATAACGATGGAGCTTCACATCCGGGGAACTCGACTCGTACAGCAGACTCTCCGTCTTTATGAAAGGGTAATCGTCCTTGTGGACTTTTGCGATTCCCGCGACGGTCGTTTCTCCCGGCACGGACGGAATCAACTCTCGCGCCCGATCGTGATTCGCGTCCGTCGGATTATTCGCCAGATTATACCCCTCGACTTCATTCCCGCTCGCGACCGCGGCACTCGTCGTTTCGATCGCCACGCCGTGGATCCTCAGATATTTTTTTTTATAATACCAGAGTCTACTGTTTTTCCTCGTCCTATATCCGAAAAAATCCTCCTCGCTGTCCAATTTGTTACCTTTCGTTACGTAAGTCTCTCGCGACAGCGCCCGTTGCTTCGAGTGGGTCGGCGCGTCAGGGTTAATCGTCTCCCTCGTATTCTGCCCCTCGACCTGCCAGGCCTCGAGGGTTCTGTTTATTTTTCCCGCAACCACACTCGCTGCCGTTGACGAGGTTCGCGCGTCGACCGCGAGCTCCGTCGTCGTTCCCGTTGCGATCATAGATTTTCTCAAATATTCATTCATGTACTTCCCATACTTTCTGTCTGGCTTTCTCTTTGTCATTTCGTTCTTGCGATTCGCGCTTTCCTGCGACGCGCTCACTTTTGGCTTCCGCTTTCTTTTGCGCGTTTTCCGTGACCGTGTTTTCATCGCGTTAACTTCGTACGCGCCATTGTTCTTCCCCGATTGAGCGTCACCTCTACCTCTAATATCTTCATTTCTCATAAGGTCTCCCTGCACGGACGAGGACTCGATCGTCACGTTCAAACCTGACGCAGTGAATTTTCCCAGCGCGCTCGCAGTTTTCACTTTTCGCGCACTGTCAGTCCGGCGATCGGCTCGGCCATTTTTCGCCGAATCGTTATTGTGCTTCCATTGAATCATGGACTTGACGAGATCATCCGACAGCTTGGGTCGTTCAGGGCTGAGTGCTTCGGACTCGCCGCGGCCGACACTCGGTCGATAAATCGTGACGTTTCCGTGGCGAGTCTTCGCGTCGAGCTCGCGACCTGCGTGTTGCGGCTCGCTTCGCAAGGACGAGTCGCGCTTCCCGTCATCTTCCCGTTCGGGTGCGATTCTCGTCAAGTACGGCGTAGGATTCCGCAGCACGGAGCTCGGAATGACTCGTGGTCGAGCTTCTTCCGGGAACATCTCCAAAATCGAGTCGCTGATCGTCACGGACGGTATGATGGTGAGTCGATGGACACTCTCTGTGGTCGCGGATGGCCGCGATGTGTTGTCTTCCGCGGGCTTCTCTCCTCCGCGGAAGGTCGCAGCCGACGACATCCGTGCGGCGAACTTTCCGGCGTTGTGAAAGTTCCGCCGCGAATATGTCACTACGAGGACGCATGATTTCGCGGTTAAGTGCGATTAAAGACGGATCTCTCTGCCGAGAGAGGCGAATATAATGACGAGAGTGTCGGGCGAGCATGCTCTCGCGGCAGCTGTTTCTCAGAGCCGGCGCGCGATCGATGGTATTTCAACGCGAATCGTTCGGATCTCGTCCAAGTCTTGCACTTGCAGCTTCGCATTTTGAGCTGGCGATAGCGCGAAAGCGTCAGCGAAAGAGAATCCCGTGTAACCCTCCGCCGAAGCTACGAAGCTTCGTCGAGACTCCCTCAGCCGACCGACATCCCCTCGCCGATTGCAAATCGATCGACGAGTGGGCTGTCGTTATAACCTCACGCGTAACTGCTTCCGTGTGACAGACGCGAGGGCCACGGTATTCAAACGAGTGACTTTCGAACGACTTTCTGCCGGTGACCCCGCGTTGAAAGAATGACGTTCTGATTCCTCGGGCGTTCCGTCTCGCGATGCACGCACGATGCATATTGCGCGCGACACGCGTGATTGCGTGTGAAAAGGGAAGAGAGTCGGTTGACGGGTGTACGTGTGTGTTTGTGTGTATGCGTGTGTGTGCGCGTGTGTGTGCGTACGTGTGTACGCGCGCGCGCGTGCGGTGTGTGACGTGAGACTTGGTGGAATGTTATAATTACCGCAGTCCCTTTCATCAGAGCCATCAGAGCACTCGTTCACCCCGTTGCACTGCAACTCGTAGCCGATGCAGCGGCCGTCCGTGCAGCGAAACTCGGCCTCTCCGCAACCTGCTCCATACACCACACTCATGCGCGTTTTAAAGATGCATTGCCCGCTGAGCGCGTCAGCTGCCCCACCCCCTTTTCCTTAGGAGGATCGCTCACGACCCTCCGCAGCAAGCCGGCACGCGGCTCAAGCAACCCCTTCGACGCCTCCGTTTCTTCCGTCCAGGACGCGTCAAACACGGGACAAGTCGGGTGCGTGAACGTTAGGCTCGAACAACATTGTCTTTATTTTTTCCTATGATATTCTTTAATCTCTTTTTACGAATTAGTTTCTTTGACGAAACGATGATGCGAGAATGTGTGTATTTGGCGTGTTTTTCTCTTTTTTTTTTTTTTTAAAGAAAGGGTAATTTTGTATCACATACTCGCGCCGATCGAGTCGGCATAAGTTCTGCACACCGCGTGCACCATCTCCTGGACAGTAGAAACGGACCGTCGCGCCTTTACCTGGTGAGATATATTTCGAGCTGCGCTGTATTGGTCGAGGTTAGTGCATGAGCGTGGCGGATACACGGGG